AATATGATTAATTGTTTTACGAAAAGCGTTAATTAAAGAAATATAAGGATGAATTTCCTCTGGTATACTAATAATATTATTTTGAATGATTTTTGCAGGTTTATCTCTTATTTCAAAGGCAAAATGTTTTGTCTGAGTAGTAATTTTTACGATTTCAGTATTATTTGCTTAGAGTTTATAGTTATAATTAATACAACTTTGAAGATAGTGCAAGTTATTATATAAGTTTATTACTACACAACCTTTACATCATTCTGATTTTCATTTTTCACAGCATCAGTAAAATATATTTTCATAGTTTCATTTCTTTACTATTAAATATCTATGAACTTTAATTTTATTATTTTCTTTTTTTAATGATACAATTTCACAAAACTTATCCATTTTTACAATAGGTTAGATAAATAAAATATTATATTTAAGAAAATTAAGGTTTTAAATTCAAGAAAACAAAAGTTTTAAAATGATGATTAAAAAAAAAAAAATTTAAAATGATGATTAAAAAAAAAACAAAAACAATCTATGTAGGTAAATAAATATTTTTTAATCAGGTGGAATCATGTGATATAGAGGCTACAAATCATTTTTCAATGATTATTTGAACTCTGTTACTAATTTATTAATATATTTCATAATTATCTTATGAAATATCAGGATCTTGAACATTGTGATCACAATCTTTTAGGATATGAGACATTCAGAATCATGATCTTTCAAAATATAGAATGTTTAAGATCATGATCTTTTGAAATCTCTACTACTAGGATTGTAAACAATTCAGGATTTTAGAATTTTAGAATATTGATCAGTCAGAATTTCATTCCTGTCAGATTTATGTATATCAGAATTATAATCTGTCAGGATTTTATCTATTAGAATTCTAGAGAAATTCCCAAATAAGCATTTGAAATATTAATTATAATATTTTTTTAATAAAATTACAAGAGTAGCTTTACTTATTTTTATAAATTAATAATAATTTCTAATTAATACTCAATTAATTCCAATATTATTAATAATATGATTATTTTATTTAAACAATCTGTCAATTAAAAAATATTTCAAAAAAACTATATTTTATATTAATAGTTTTTTAAGTAACATTTATTTAGAAAATTATGTTTAAGGTCTTAGTTGAATATATATAAATAAATTATTATTTTATTACTATTTTACTGCGTTTCTATTAAATTAGTTTTTTTTAACTATATTAAAATCTTTACTCTACTTTTAACTTTTCATATTAATAAAAATACTGACAATTAAGCTATAATTAATAATTTACTATATATATTACTAATAATAATCTTTCTAATAGAAGAATAAAAATACTTTTTAATTATACTTTTTGAAATTTGATTTAATATATTTGTAAATTACAATAAATTATTATCACTTTATACAAAATTAAAGTATATATTTAATTGGATTTTATATAAAAAACCAATTGTTAAAATTATTTATTTTGATAAAATTATGCTAATCTTTCATAATTCATAATTTACTTTTTTTATAATATTAAAATTAAAGTATAATTAAATATTTTTTAATAACTAATAAATAATATAAAATAAAAATTAAATTTTAATTTTTTAATTATTAAAGACTTAATAATTTCAATTTTATCAAATGATTAAATATTTTAGTTTTACTTAATATTATTAATAATATTTATGTATATCTATATTGAAATTACTCATCAAGATCACTTAATATTATTATTTATTGTAATCATCTAACATATCAAATATATCTCTTTATAGGATTTTATATTCATGTCTATTCTTGTGATCATTTGAATTAACATATATATAATAACAAATTATTCTAATTTTAATGTGTCTTTTCAAGTATATATTTATGTAAAGTAGCTTGAATTTGAAGTATAAGATAAAGTAATATATTTATTCTATTTCTTGAAGACTAAAAAATGATTTCAATATATAGTAATAATAGATCTGGTTAACTTTAAATAGTTATATAATATTGATTCTATTAGTATTTGAATAGCATTAATGTTCTATAATATATTTTTATAAGATCAACAAAATCTATGTTTATATTTTTAAATGCTTTTAATATTTAAGACAATTTAATAAGATCTGTAATCTTATTAATACTACAAAAATTATATATTAAAATTTTAATACATCTTTCTTAGTTTTATTATCATTTATATTATTATTCAAATAAAAAATATTAGCATCTATAGCATCAATTTTATTTTGTCTATTATTAAAAGAGTGTAAAAGTTGATTTATAAGAAATAAGTATATAGTATATTTATATTTATATTTAAAGTATTCTAGTTATTATTAGAAATACTTTAATTTGTGATTTACCAAGTATAAAGGATATTATAACTAATAAGTTAAAGGCTTATCATTATTAGTGAAAAAGAAAATTTGGGAGTTTAATTTGATAAGATAAGTTTTAATAAAATCTAATTCCTATAATTTAGCTAAAATTAAACTGATGTTATATAAAAGAAGACATGGATGATGATGATCTAAAGGATGACATTGATCCTTAAGAAATCATATATGTCTTTTATGTCATTTATATCATCTATAGCATATATTTCTTTTATACAATATATTTCTTTTATTATTTATATCATTTATTTATTATATTATATTTATTTCATATATTTTATTTATTATATTTATTTCTTTTATATTTTTGAT